TTAAGAGGGTCTTGGAAAATGAAACTCTAACTTAAGGAAGTCCACAGAGGCAACATAAAAGCTAGACACATCAGAAGATCACTTATTTCCTCAAATTATAGAGACTTTTTTTTTTTAAAAAAGAATATTCTTTGTACAGCATTTGTGAAATGTTGATTACAATCAGCAACAAGACATATTTCAGGTCAAAGAAGATGGACAATTTAGTGCAGTCCCTAAATTTGAACTCGGTTCTCACCAAGGCTTCTTGAGACCATAATTAAGCATCCACTTAGTCAAAACAACTCTTGTTTTATTTCAGCGCTGGGAATTATGTTCATTCCCAGCCCGTAATGAGTCTCAAACAGTCCCTCGAGATAAGCACCCACCTTTCTCGCCTTTGAATTGCTGCCAACAACTAAAGTGCCAAATTAACTATAAAAAACCAAGCGAAGTACAAAGTCCACACAGAGCTTCAAGGATTAATCCAAACAGAGCAAACAACTGTGCTTCCTGCAAAGGTTTCTCCACCTTTGCCTGTCCTTTATACATTATGGGAGGAGCAATCACCTCCCAGCCTTACTCCCGAGTCGCCCCTTTTGTCTCAGCTGCTCTTGCCAAAGGAGCATGATGTTCTTGGACACAGTATATACAGCCACTATCCCAAAGGTGCTTTTTTTAAGGAGGCAACTGGATTTTCTGTTGTTGTTTTTTTCTTCGAAGACATTTCGCTTCTCATCCAAGAAACTTCTTCAGCTCTGGCAGGATAGTGAGAAATGAAATCCTGTCAAAGCTGAAGAAGCTTCTTGGATGACAAGCGAAATGTCTTCAAAGAAAAAAAAAAGCAAGAAAGTCCACTTGCTTATAAAAAGCACTTTTGGGAAAACCATGACCTGGATGACTGAGAATCTCTACGGGTTTTTATACAGTCGCTCCTTGCTTCTAAGTCTGGTAAGGGTATTAGATGGCATTTCTGCTAAGATCACAAAGCTACATTCTGACAGCTCAAGATATGTCTTACCCGATGTTTTATTATCCTGGAATCTTCAAAGATGATTGCAACAATATCTATGAAGCACCTTCTTAATAGCTCAGTTGTTCTGTCAGATTATGGCCAATTGGCTTCACAAGCTAGCATAGCATTTCCCAAAGCATATAGTATATACTTTGGGGTATATGATTAAGCGCTCATTCATAATCCTCCATAGCAGTGATTCTTAAACTTAACAACTTTAAGATGTAAAGGTAAAGGTTGCCCTTGCACATATGTGCTAGGGGGCAGTGCTCATCTCTGTTACAAAGCCAAAGAGACAGTGCTGTCTGAAGACATCTCCATGGTCATGTGGCTGGCATGTCTAAATGCCAGAAGGTGCACAGAACACAGTTATCTTCCCACCAAAGTGGTCCCTATTTTTCTACTTGCATTTTTTACATGCGTTTGAACTGCTAGGTTGGCAGAAGCTGGGGCAAGTAGCGGGAGCTCACTCACTTACGTGGCGTTAGGGATTCGAACTGCCGAACTGCCGACCTTTCTGATCGACAAGCTCAGCGTCTTCGTCGCTGAGCCACTGCATCCCCTACTTTAAGTTGAGTGGACCTCAATTCTATGCTGGCTGGGGAATTCTGGGAGTTGAAGTCCACTTGTCTTAAAGTTGCTAAGGTTGACAAACACAGCCCCACAAGAATCTTATGGCAGAGGTATCGGTATCCTAGACCATGTAATGCATATAATCAAGCTATGCTTTATGGGCTAATATACAAGTTGCATGCATTCCCATCTCATATGTTCGGTGAAATTGGAAAGATAACATTCATAGTTGCAAAAGGCCAAGATGAATTGGGAAATATGTTTTACGGCTCCTTTCCGTCTCTCAGGCAGATAGTATCTTAGAGAGATGGCTAAATTAGCTAGATTGCTTCTTGCTATCTACATTTACTCCTCGAGTCTAGTGCTATCGTTAGATCTTAAAAGCAGCAAATAATAAAGCTTTCGGTGTTTGGAGATGGAGGTTTTATCTCTTCCTTGCAAGCTTTTTCCTTCTCTTTTTTTCTTGACTGGTGTTACAATTGTGCCGTATCACTTTGCATTACACATATTGCTGGTTACGAATTAGAATTGATTTCTTATAGGAATATCATGTGTTTGTTGCTAGGATAGGATAGGATAGGATAGGATAGGATAGGATAGGATAGGATAGGGTAAGGAATAGGAATAGGAATAGGAATATGAATATGAATAGAATAGAATAGAATAGAATAGAATAGAATAGAATAGAATAGAATTTAAATAGAAGAGAAGAGAAGAGAATTTAAATGGAATAGAATAGAATAGAACGGAATAGAACAGAACAGAACAGAACAGAACTGAACCGAACAGAACAGAACAGAACAGAACAGAACAGAACAGAATAGAATAGAATAGAATAGAATAGAATTAGAATAGAATAACAGAGTTGGAAGGGACCTTGGAGGTCTTCTAGTCCACCCCCCTGGCCAGGCAGGAAACTTTATACCATGTCAGACAAATGGTGGTCCAATCTCTTCTTAAAAACTCCCGTGTTGGAGCATCCACAACAGCTCTTGTGTTTGTGTTTTTTTTAACCAATGGCAAAAGGCGCAGTTTTGCAGTCCAAGATGAACATCAGGCTGAATCTCCCCATATTTTGTACAGACACACACACACACACACACACACACACAAATGCATTCCTTTTGAGCCAAGCCAGAAACAAATGCTTCAATGTTGTTTGAATTATTTAAAGAAGATCCTTGCAGTTAAAATGAATAGAACTTGCGTTGAGTTCTGCCAAGGATGACATTCAGGCTCTGCTGGTTCTAATTCCCTTATTTTACTCTTGCATATATATATATATATTTTCTTTGCTGTCTTTTTCCAGTAAATCTTGTGGGAATTGTGCCTGCCTCTGTCCAGTGTGACCTCACTAGAGCCCTTCTAAAAAATATAGATTTTTATTTATTTTTTAAAAAATCTGACCTGATCTGAATAAGCAAAGGAGGGAACGTAGAAGGAGGTGTGTCCTCTTAGTTATCCTGAGACTAAATCAGATAAGGCCAGCACAAGAAGCTCTATTTATTGCAAAATAAATCTAAACATTAAGGTGGTTTTTTTTCCCCTTTAAGCTATGGTTTTGCAGTGGGGTAAAGAATGGATAAACAGGGGGGTTCCAGAACAGCAATAATGTTTGTTTTGTCCTGGGTGAATTTTATTTTTGTTGGCAAAAGCATGAGTGAAAAACTAGCTGCAGATAAAAGGTCCTTAGGGCGTTTCTGAAAAATCGTAATATGCCTATATCTCTGTACTTATGATATGTCTTAGGGAAAAGGCTGGGAAGAGAAGAACGCATAGCATTCATTAAAATTAATTTTTAAAGTGTTTACATCCAAATATTAGAGCTGCCTGATGTCCTTCGTTTGGGCATAAATTAGAAATGTGTTAACAACCCATAAAAAAAACAACAACCCTCAATGAAATAAAAAGAGGGGGGAGGAAGGATAGAAACATCGTTGTTGGTAAATTATTTAAAGAATGCTTATTTGTTTTAGCTAGCTATACCCCTGCACGGTTTGACTCGCGATCATAAATTTACAACTTACTATGAATCCCTCCTTGTGTCCTGCGTGGGAACCGCAAAACCACGTCAGAAATGGAAGGGAAGAACCGGATCAAAATTAATGGGGGGGGCACATATTCTCTTTGGATTTCCTCAGTAGAACTTTTTACGTGGTGGTGGAATGCCAAAATTATGGAACAAATCAAGTGAGGCTTTAGGTTCCGTGGTTTTCCTGTGGCTCTTTCATGGGAGAAGAAGGTCCCATGGGGTGGGATAGAAGATTGTTGTCGTTGTTAGTTGTGAAGTCGTGTCTGACTCATCGTGACCCCATGGACAACGTTCATCCAGGCCTTCCTGTCCTTCACCATTTTCTGGAGTCCATTTAAGCTCACACCGACTGCTTCAGGGACTCCATCCAGCCTTCTCTGCCATCCCCTTCTTCTTCTTCTTCTTTTGCCCTCCATCATTCCCAGAATTAGGCGTTTCTCCAGGGAGTCCTTCCTTCTCATGAGGTGGCCAAATCTGTGGTTATGGCCCACTCCAATCTGCCTCTTTGAATTTGACAGTTGAACATGATGTCCTACAGGCAGGAATATCATAAGTAAGTCTTAAATCATACATCGAGACTTCCAAGGTCTCTTCCAACTCCATTACTCTGTCTCAGCTGCAGCAGAGAAATTAATAAGTAAGGCTTCTAACTGTGGTTTGTTATATGGGGCAAGCTCAAAAGGGGCTACCAACCTACCTTGGGAACGGTTCAGAGTCCTGTGTATGTTTAGCTTGCAAAAGAGAGTTGAGAAAGGACCTTGAAAGATCTGAAGGACAGTCGTCTCCTACAGAACTTGCTCTCCCCTCTCTTCCAGGTGGGAGGACTAGAACTAGTGGGCTAAACCCCCAAGGGCTGTAGGTACAGATTAAACATGAGGAAGAACGTCTCAATAGGAAGAGTTGACCATCGTGGAATAGCTTACAGCATGGAGTGGTTTTTTTCTCTCTTTGACTGGAGGTGTTGAAATGAAAATCAAAGAATCTTCTATCGGAATGGTTAGTGAATCCTGCGGTGGACAGGGAGTTGAACTTGATGACTTCTCAGGTACCTTCCAACTCTGAATCTGTGATGGAATGTAGGCTGGATTCCCAGGCTGGTAGAGATGCATTCCAGAAAAGCAAGAGACAACTCAGCTCAGGTAGTTTGTGTGAGAGAAAGAGAGTGAAGACAGATCCTCCTTAATAGTTCCCAGACTGCATCCTTTATGGGGATGGTACCTTGCTTTAGTTCGGCAAGATTCTGTCTATAGGTGAGGACGGTCATGAAATTTGCTTGAATAGCATGGCTTTCTTGGTTTATGGAGCCTGGCAGAATCTATAATTCTATATCATATGAGATAAGGAGATGAATCCCTGAATAATCTTTATAAATGCTTAAATATGTTCTTTCTTTGTTTGTAGTGGCCTTCCATTGCCAACAGCACACAACACTGTCCTCATACATTCCAGTGGTGGATCTGGAAGCTCCAGTGAATCTGAAAGTAGTTCAGAATCTGATTCAGACAGTGAAACCAGCTCCAGCGATAGTGAATGCAATGAAGAATCACGTAGCGGAACTCCGGAGGTAAAAAATCACAATGTCCATCTCTAGATTTCCAGATGTTAAATTGCTTTATTAGGAGGCAACTGGACTTTCTTGTTTTTCTTTGAAGGCATTTTTGCTTCTCATCCAAGAAGCTTCTTCAGCTCTGACTGGGTGACAAGAAATGAAAGGATTGCACTACTCAGCTGACTCTGAGGACACAGATAAACCTCCAAGTGGCCTCAATGACCCTCTAAAAGGATGCAAATGACCAGCTGTCTGCAAGGAGTATCAATCCTTCCATTCCCCACCATTCAGTCAGAGCTGAAGAAGCTTCTTGGATAAGAAGCAAAGCATCTTCAAAGAAAAACAAGGAATTGCCTCCTGAAAAGACACTTTTGGGACAACTGTGACTGGATAACTGGGAATCTCCATAGACATTTAAATTGCTTTAGTTTTTCTTTTTGTCTATATACAGTGTATACCTATCTTGGCAACAGGTGCGTGGACTTCAAACCCCAGAATTCCACAGCCAAGACAGCCATTTATGAGAATTCTGGGATTTGAAGTCCACACACCTGGAAGCCCAGGCCTCATGGCTGATTTGGAAAGGAAAGCTTGACTACAAATGGGATCAATTGTTCATCACTTTTTTCAATGTGTCTCCCTCAGCCTGAACCCCCCTCAGCTAACAAGTGGCAGCTGGACAAATGGTTAAACAAAGTCAATCCTCACAACAAGACTATCATCAGCAATCAACATGACGGTCACGGGGAGAACAGCGTTCCATCGCAAACCGCGGCTCAGATGGAAGGACAGAACAAAGGGAAGGTAAACAACAGCTTGTCCTTGCCCGATTCCAAAGACAGGACCCTCCGCAGCCCCATCCGAGAGAAAGCCAAACCCCGGGTGGCCCAGAAAACCCCAGCCGAAGTGAAAAGTTCCAAGCAGAAATCCCCTGTCCACAATGAACCGGTCCCCCAAAGGACGACTGGGAAGAAGCAACCCAAAAAAGTCGAAAGAACTTCCAGTGTGGAAGACTACAATTGGCCCAAACCAAATATGACTAGCAGCACCCCCAAAGACAAGGAGGCGCAAGAGAGCCCAGAGCAGGCCAAACTGAGGGCGAAGATGGCCGCTGGGAAGACCGCTCCGAGGAAGGAGCCTAGGGCCACCACCGGCCCTCCTCTGGAGAAGAAAAAGTACAGAGGTCCCAGCAAAACTTTTCCCAAGTCGCGAGAGTTCGTGGAAACGGACTCGTCCACCTCTGATTCGAACACCGACCACGAAGAGAGCCTGCAGGCCAAAAGTCTGCAAGGAGGGAGCGGCTCGGACAGCAGCATCAAAGCCAAGGACTCCAGTAGCAACATCCTCAGCGTCAGCAGTTTAATGAGCAATAACAGCAACACTTCGGTGGACCAGAATGGGCCAGATTTGGAAGAGCAGCTTTTCTCACCTCTTCCCATTGTCCAGAATGAACCCCTGTCCCCCTTGAAGGAATTCGAAGAACTCAAGTACCTTTGGGTGAAAATAGACCTGAGTTTCCTCTCTCGGGTTCCCGGGCAAGATCTGGACTTTGAGAACGTCTCCGGAAAGGTGGAAGCCCGAGAGGTCAACGTCAAGCATCGGCGACAGGCACCCGACTCTCCCTTGCCCCTGGCTGAAAAACCGTCTGCTAAAACCAAAAGGAAGCACAAAGTAAGTTCTTTATTCTCAGCCTTCCTTTATTCCCTCCCGTGAAGATAGTGCCACGCAAAATCAGAATAAAACATCAACCCACTTTTTTTTTTTCTTTGACATCACCTACCTTGGCCTCCAGGAGAGGTTGGTTGTCCAACACTGGAGATATTCAAGGAACAATTGGACAACTATCTGTCTGAAATAGTGTAGGGCCTCCTGCTTCAGCAGCAGGTTAGACTAGAAGACCTCCAAGGTCCTTTCCAACTCTGTTCTTCTTTGGCCAAAAAGCCCGAGTGGGAACTTGGTGATGCCTCAAATTGGTGGATTTATCCCCAAACATCAACAATGTACTTGGGTGTGCTTTGTGAATTGCCTTCTTTTACTCTAAAAGCTACATCTGAAATGAATTGAGAAGAAGTTGCAATACGATCAGGGGCCGCCACAGAGGTTATCCACCATGTCAAAATAGCAATAGCACTTAGACTTATATGCTGCTTTACAGTGCTATGCAGTCCCCTCTAAGCAATCAGCCTCTTGCCCCCAACAATTTGAGTCCTCATTTTACCCACCTCGGAAGAATGGAAGGTTGAGTCAACCTTGAGCCGGTCAGGATCAAACTCCTGACAGTGGGCAGAGTTAGCAATATCAATAGCACTTAGACTTATATACCGCTTCACGGTGTTTTACAGACCTCTCTAAGTGGTTTAGAGCCAGCCTATTGCCCCCAGTAATGCTGGGTCCTCATTTTACCCAGCTTGGAAGGATAGAAGGCCGAGTCAACCTTGAGCCTGGTGAGATTTGAACTGCCAACTTGCAGGCAGTTAGCAGGCAGCAGAAGGAGCCTGCAGTACTGCACTCTAACCACTACGCCCCCGAGGCTCATAAAAATGCCACCCCTTCTTAATGCACATTAAATGCTCCACCCCTTCTGAATGCACATTAAAAATAAGAGTAGCTTTGATTACACCCCTACTATTTTAATGTCCTCAATCCCTCCCCTTGTGAACTCCTTTTGCCATGATAATGGATTAGTGGGAGTTTAGAAAGCCAGGTAGGGCATGCAATGGAGTAAGGATAACATAAAGAAACACAGATTATTTATATGCATCTTTTCAGCCAGAATTACTTTCAAAAGTTGGGGGAGGAAGCCTTTAAAGCTACTCCCCCCCCTCACCCGCCTCATCGCATTGATTAAGAATAATATTTTAAAAACTGAATACATTTTTTCCGGCACAACACTTGTTAGAAAGCAGTTTGGGATATCGCACAAGAGCTTTGCAAGAGAGAAAAAAAGACTTAGGTAATCAAATGCAACTCCTGGGTTTAATCTAATGGTACATCTTTGTCGGTTTTATTTTGTTTTGTTTCATTTTTAGTGGTTAGAGCATTAGGACAAGATTTCTCTCCGTTTTAAATAGGCATCCATCCATCAAAGTCAAAATCAGGCAAGCTTTCTGATAACATTTGCTGTTGTCTTTATTCCACATTGGAAAAAAAAAATGGGGGGGATTTTGTTACATAAACACCTGGGATTTATCAAAATGCCATTCACTTTGCGTTTTTTCTTCTTCTTTTCCTGCTGCGTTTTCCCCTTCCCCAACCACTACTTGCGAAGCAGAATCTTTTGGGAGTCAAGAGACGAAGCTTTTATCATGGGTTGGATATGATTTATATCCAGGGATGTATTGTTAAGGGTGGGATATGAAGTTCACACTGAAATGTGCTTTTGGGACAGGAGAGGCAGCGCAAGAAATCTCAACTCTGGATATTTGCAGGCGGGATTATTGTGTTTGTTTTTAAAACCTACTTGCAATTGTCATTGCTGACCCAAAAAAGGGCCCATTTTTAGCCTTTCCTGGAAGGAAAAGAGAGTAAATTGGGACAAAGGACTGTCCTTCAGCTCTCGCTCTCTCTCTCTCTTTCTTTTTTTCTTTTTTTCTTTTTTTTTGCTAAAGATGAAATAGGACATTTCAGAAGCAGCCATCCCTGACAGGTTTTACAGAATTAAACTGGGGTGCTAAAAATATTAGCTGAATCAATCTGGACAGTTTAGAGTGCCAAGTGGCACTCATTCTAATTTCATGCATATTTGGGCAATTCAGAGATGGAAGGCCCTGTCTAGGCAAGAAAAATACAGGGAGGGTGTGTGTGCGAGAGAGAGAGAGAGAGAGAGAGAGGGAAAGAGAGAGAAGGAGGGAGGGAGGGAGGGAGAGAGAGAAAGAAGGAAGGGGGTGTGAGAGAAAGTGAGATAAAAGACTATCAAAAAACAGAGAGAGGAAAGGGAGAAAGGATGACACAAGGAGAGAAGTGGTGATTGAAAGCAAGCAAAGAAGAAAAATCAAGAGAAAGGGGAGATTGATTGACTGACTGACTCATTGTGTGCTGTCAAGGCCGTGTTGACTTCTGCCACATGTAGGCAGATATTCTCGCTGTTGATTTGTGCCTAACCTGGTCTTTTAGGTCTTCTGATGGTGAAAGAGAGAATGAGAGAGAGAGGAGAGAGAGAGAAAGAGAGAGAATGAGAGAGAACATCTCCACACTTGGTTCTATTCCTACTGCCTCTCCACAAAAAGGATGGTTCTTGACCCCACTTCTATTGTGACCAGCCACACCATAGTCAACTCACTCCAGCGGGGTTGTGTTTAGTCCCAGCTAGTTCCAAACTTGCCTCGGGTTCACCACATACCGCCCAACCAGCCATGCTGTGGAACTCCAAAACCTTCTCAACTGTCCCATTTTATCTACCTAGTAAGACATGAAAAAAAGATCTAGCAACGTCTCATGGACCCCCCCTTGCAGAAAGAGGGAGGGTGCGTTCTTCCCAATGGTTGGTGGGATCATGTTCCCAACATTCTTCCCAACAGTTGGTGGGATCATGTGAGGTAGCCAGACCCACCAGTCAGGTGATTTCACTGGGATAAAAGACGGTTTGGGTGGGAAGAACGATGTGATTTCATCCGTTGTTGAAAAAGACGATGCGATAAGAAGCGTAACGTTTCTGGCTTCTCTCCTTCTGATCAAAGCAGTCTGAAAACGTGGACATATTTGGCGACAGCAAGAAACAACGTTTAGAAGAGTCTCCGGCTTCCTCTTTGCTTCCACCCTGCATTTCACCGATACCCAACCACAGAATACCCGGCATAAAAGAGTATGTGCTTTTTCCCTACTTTTTCTCTGTAGCTCTAACAGAATTAGCCCAGGATTTTTAGCCTCCAAAATGCCGTGCCGTTGATAGACCTCATTCCTAGTTTTATTGTATCTCTTTATTTTCTGTCTTGTGTTCATCTAAGAAATAATTATGACGTCTGGTTACTGCAGTCAACCTACAGGAAGGACTGGCTTCACCCTTCTCCTCTGGTTTATCTCTGTCTGGTCTTTAAACTGTAATTTGAAGGATATTTTTTTTTTCTCAACAAAACGAAGCTGCCTCTCCCATCATATTGTTGCACGGTGAAATTTATGTTGAGTGAGTAATCCCGCAGTAAACATAAAACTCATGGCTTTTAAAGCATTGTGAAATAAAACCAGCCCATTCCTAATCCCTCTTCTACCTGTGTAATTGCTAACTCCACTTAATGCAAATGAATTTATCCTAATTTGCCTTCTTGAACACACACACACACACACACCAAGTCTGAAAATGGCACCAATACCTTAAGCATGGAATCCATTTAAGGATGATGCAAGTGTCATCTTTCAAGCAATGTGCGTTTATCTTTCTCCACCTGCTTGCGTCATCTCTTTTTTAAATCTTATATTTTATGCCTTTACCAAACCCTAGAGAGTTAGCCCCCAACCTGATGTTTCTTAATTTCAGCTTGTTTTCTAGGTCATTAATTTGATTCCTCTGAGCCCTGCAACTATTGGTATCCTCTGTTATAATATAATTGTGTTCATCAATAGTTATTTCCCTTATGCTAGGTCTAAATTTCCCCTGGTCCCAGATGTTTCCAGTTGCCAAGCAATTCTTCCCCCTGATTTTCTTATTAGTTATGTTTAACTGAGACTAAGATCGTGGTGTGATCTGTTCTAAATATCCTCCAAGTTCGTATTTAGCCCAATCATTTTCTACTTTTTGAATATCATCAGCTATATTCATGTTTGAAGGGTCTCAACGCTTACAGAAGGATGAGTAGAAAGTCATCTCAATAACTTAGCACTAATGGTCATGGTTCCCCATGAAGATCACTTTGGCCATTGTGGACTAGAACCTAGTCTCAAGACTTTGGCCTGCTTTTGATCCAAGTTTAGCATTGGTGGCCGGTTGTGCTTATCCCACCATTCATACAACCTTCCCTTTGCTAAATCTCATGATCTTGAGTGCATATTCTAAGGCCGGGTTCCTCAACTCCAGCAACTTTCATTGGTGGACTTCAAATCCCAGAATCCATGCTGGCTGAAAAATTCTGGGACTTTAAGTCCACACATCTGAATGTGGCTATGGTTGAGGAACTCCGTTTTTATGGACTTCAACTCCAAGAATTTATGTCAGCTGGAGAATTCTGGGAGTTGAAGTCCACATGTCTAAAAGTTGCTAAGGTTGGTGACAACATCCATTTTTATGGAATTCAGCTCCCAGAATTCATGCCAGGTGGGGAATTCTGGGAGTTGAAGTCCACACATCTGAAAGTTGCTGAAGTTGAGGAATCTCAGTAGCCCATTTTTGTAAACTGAAGTCCATTTGTTATGAACTTCAACTCCCAGAATGCATGCTGGTTGGGGAATTCTGGGAGTTGAAGTCCATAAAATTTGCTGAGGTGAAAAATTCTGTTCGAAGCACTGGATTATCAGGAATAATGAGAACATTACAGTTGTGAGTCCAATTGTTGTTGTTTTGTACAATTAAATAATAACTGAAATAGGTGGCTACTTTCATTAGAAGTGGATGTGTTGTTGAATACAGTCAGGTGACATGATTGAATTTCCCCCCCCCCCCAGTCAAAAAGCCAAGTTGCTTTCCTTTTGCTTGTTTGTCTCTGATTTGTTCCTTTGAGGTATTGTAAATCTATAAAAACTTGACACTGACTTAAATTGACTAAGAGGGAGACATCCATTCTTGTTGACTTAATTTACTATTGAAAATTTGAGTCGATAATCATGAAAGTAAATGGCAGGAGAATGCAATATGTGTTGACTAAGGAAGGATTAAAATCCAAGTAATCTTCATTGACCGGACTAGGAGAGTAACTCAAATAATAATAATAATTAAAAAGAAACCCATGGTCGGATTAACATGTTAACGAGTCAGCTGGCTCTATCTGACTTGGCTTCTGTTTCCTTTTTTTTTCTTCCTTCTTCTTCTTCTTCACAGCCAGGGTTTAAATAGTAGGATTATTAATTTTTTGTGTCCTGGTGAAGGAGGTACAGGAGGCAGTCCTTGACTAACGACCACAATTTTTTCCTTGCTAAGTGAGAGAATCATTAAGTGAATACCACCTTTCTTGCCACAATTCTTAAGTGAATCTAACCATATCAGACTCTGAATTTTGATCACGTGACTGTAGGGATGGTGGAAAATGGTCATACGTCACTTTTTTCAGGGCTGTTGTAACTTCCAATGACTATTAAATGAATAGTGGTAAGTCAAGGGATGCCTTTATATGTTTGCTAAAACTGTTGGCTTCGGTTCTTCTTTGACAGAAGCAACTCCATGAAAAAAATGACCAAAAAGAGAGAAGAAAAGCTCTTCCCACCTCCCTTGTCTCCTCTGATGGACGAGACAGCCCCGCGGCATAACATCATGGACAGCAGCTCCTTCAACCAAGAGAACTCCCTCCCAAGCTCCTTGCAGACCAACACCTGCTCCAAACACAGGAAGAATGAGAACAAATCTTCTGCCAACTCCAAGGGAGTCAGTGTAAGTGTCAGGCATGAAAGATCAGGTCTACACGTGAAGGTCCAATTCCACTGACTTATCAATAAGAGGAGAAACTTTGTAGCTTGGGGTTGAAATGAGAGGTCCTTGGTGCTCTCTGAGCTTGGTGGTTTTCTTGTAGATGTTTCATGCTCCATCATCATCAGTGCTACTCTACTATTGACTAACACTGATGATGTTACCTAGTTTGGGTCAGGAAAACCATCAAGTTTGGAGACCACCAAGGATCCTTCGAACTGATTTATTGCTATGCATAGGAATCTTCTCAACTAACAGTGGGCACCTGCTAGGAGTTAGAAAAGGATCAATGGCACTCAAGGGGGGTGGGGGGAGTAGACTCAGTCTACAAGAGTTGGTGGTGTGGAAAAATTTTCCCGCTGTCCAAAATGAGTGTGGGTGAATCAATGCCACGTTGGAGCCCCTCATTTAGTCACAACCAATACCATGATAAAGGAGGAAGAATCAACCGAGATCCTTACCCGCTTAGCCACCCATCGTCCTCCTTGAAATTCTCCACCCCAGCTAACGTTTGACCGTGCTTCACCTTGGTCATGCAAAATTCAAGAGAAGCTGCGCAGCACTGACCTTTAAACTGTGATTTAACTTGTACGGTTGCAAAAGGGCAGGGAATTCAAGAGGGTTTTTTTTTTTCTGGTGGCAAGCCTTCTGCTCTCATCTGGCACCTGGCCTAATTGTTGGATACTTGTGAAATTTTCGCCTTGCTGTTTGCCTCCTAACATTTTAATTTTAATAAGCCGCCGATGCTACAAGGCACCCATGCTGACATTACACCTTGGAAGAAGTGGGTGTTAATGATGCTGAGCGTGGGAGCGGTATGGAGCCGATTGCACTTAATTAATTTGCTGAGCCTGACTTAGCGACACGCAGCCCAAGAAAACAAAGAGCTGGATTTTAATTTCAAGGCACGCACGCCTCGCAGGACGGGGACGTGTAAAGGTATGCTTAGCGTGAAGGCTAATTAAAAATTACTTTCTGTAGGAGGAAGACATTCACAACAGGCCTTCTAATCCTTTGCTGGAATCCAGCCACCTCGACAACAATCTCTGGTTGACAAGTCCCACCTTCACCAACGGGAATCCTGAATTGAGAAGACCCAAGATAACGTTTGATGATATGTTAGTTGCTTATTCGTTATGGCTGCATTTGTACTTTTTGGTTAGCTTGGGGCAAATTTCGCATTCCTTTTTTTCTTTAAAATAACATGTTTTTATTAGAACAGAATAGAATAGAATAGAATAGAATAGAATAGAATAGAATAGAATAGAATAGAATAGAATAGAACAGAACAGAATAGAACAGATATTGGAGAATAGAATAGAATAGAATAGAATAGAATAGAATGGAATGGAATGGAATGGAATGGAATGGAATGGAATGGAAAGGAATAGAATAGAATAGAATAGAATAGAATAGAATAGAATAGAATAGAATAGAATAAAATAGAATAGAATAGAATAATCTTTATTGGCCAAGTGTGATTGGACACACAAGGAATTTGTCTTGAAGCAGATGCTCTCAGTGTACATAAAAGAAAAGAAACATTCGTCAAGAGTCAAGAATCATAAGGTACAATACTTAATAATAGTCATAGGGTACAACAAGCAATCAAATCATACTAGGAAACAGTCAATATAAATTGTAAGGATACAAGCGACAAAGTTACAGTCCTACAATCACAAGTGGGAGGGGAGGGGTGATAAGGAGTGATGAGAAAGTTAATGGTAATAATAGTGCAGGCTTTGTAAATAGTTGAACAGTGTGGAGGGAATGATTTGTTTAGCAGAGGGATGGCATTGGGGAAAAACCTCTCCTTGTGTCTAGTTCTTCTGGTGTGCAGTGCTCTGTATAGTGTCATTTTGAGGGAAGGAGTTGAAACAGTTTGTGTCGGATGTGAGGGATCTGTAAATATTTTCACCAGTATTATAAAACACAAAAGTAAATAGAAGAGCAGTGAGGAGGAAGGAAGAAGAGAAGTGAGGAAAGATGGGTGGGGAGGAGAAAAAGAAACCCTGACATTCCAACTCTCTCTTGCGTTTCTTTGGGCAACATTTTCAGAAATTGTCTGCTCTTACTTTCTCCCTAGAACTGAGAGAGACCAACCCAAAGTCACCCAGATGGAATTTGTCACTAAACAGGACCAGGAGCTGGGTTTCCCCAATCCTGGCCCCGTTTTGAATGAACTCCAAGACAGATCAAAAATCCACCTGGTCATTTAAAGTTTAGCCTTCTAAATGAACCTATAATTGTCTAATCTGATGTTACAAAGAGAGAAGCTGGAGGAACATTTTGCAATGGCTGGAGATTGGACAAATAAAGAAACACATATTTGTAGGGGAAGTAAACTTACTGTGCATGGATTAGAAGTTGGAAATCTCGATACCTTTAGCAGATGTCTTTTGGAGTCAGCTTCTTCCAAGATGTCCTTTTGACTTCCCAGTGTGGTCTACAACTCTTAGATTGCCAAGTGATCTCCCGCCTGAATATTTTCCAGAATTTATTCCTTCTTAGCTTTTGGAATAAGTCACAAGAGGGAAGAAAGCAGAGTACTATGTAGATTTACATAGTATTTTATTTTTTATTTTATTATTAGAAGATGGGCAGGATTAAGGCAAGCCCTGTAAGCATGAAGTCTAGATCAGGCCAATGCAAGAGCTGAAATCCCATAGCTGCTTCTTCTCACCACTGTTGTTGTTATTGTTGTTGTTGTTGTTGTTGTGTTTTTCTAGGCTTCACAATGCTGATTATTACATGCAAGAAGCCAAAAAACTCAAGCATAAGGCAGATGCTCTGGTAAGTCTCTCCATGTCCCTTTCGCTCTACCTGGTTGGGTTGCTGATTCAGCAGAGAATTCATATGCCGGAGAGGATCGCAACACGTGTGTGAGCTTTATTAACAATGCATTAAATTATGCTAATTATTAGTATGCAATAAAGCACCCTTCATTAACAGGAATGCCCACCGTGGGGGCAGTAATGCAGATAATTCTCTGGATCAGCTGGCATCCAGTTTTGGTTGCCAGGATATGAAAAAGTTATCGAGACTTTAGAAAAAGAGCAGAGAAGAGCAACCAAGAGGATTAGGGGGTTGGAGGTTAAAACATGAATAGAACGGTTGCTGAAACAGGGTATGGCTAGTCTAGTGAAGAGAAGGACTAGGTCCATGATGGCGAACCTACGGCACGCATTCCACAGGTGGCACACAGAGCCATTTGTGCGAGCACGTAAGCCCCAGCCAAACTTACCTGCGCTGTACATGCACATGCCTCCCAGCTGATTTTTGAGGACTTTTTCGCCCTCCCTGAGGCCCCAAGGGAAGCTTTTGCAGCCTCAGGAGGCCAAAAAATTGGAAGTGCCAAAACGGGCCCATTTTTCAGCCTCCCGAGGCTGCAGAGGCTTTGCTCGAGTCTCCAAGAGGGCAAAAACGGCCTCAAACGGACTGAAAATCAGCTGGGAAGTGTGTGCATGTGCAGTGCAGGTAAGGGGCAGGGCGAGGGTATTACGTGTGCATGTGTGCAGGGGAGGGCACATTGCATTGTGGGTCCCAGCATGCGCATGCACTTTTCGGCACACCACAACAAAAAAAGTTTGCCATCACTGGCCTAGGTTATCTGCTGCCATGATTCCCTTAAGAACCAGGGCAAGAAAGCGGGGCAAAAGTCGTTGGACGAACATCTCATTTCGCAACAAAAATTGGGGGCAGCTGTAAGTCGAGGCCTATCTGTATCCAGATCCTTAAGGAGGGGCGCCCAAGAGCTACAAAACAGGAGTGCACCCAAGGGCCCAGATTTCTAGCGGAAATGAAACCCTTCACCAATCTTGAAGAGCAACTAAAGCGTCGTCTCAAATTCCTTTTATTTTCCAGTTGGAGAAATTTGGCAAAGCCGTGAATTATGCCGACGCGGCGATCTCCTTCATCGAATGCGGGAATGCTATGGAGCGTGATCCGTTAGAGGCGAAATCTCCATACACCATGTACTCTGAGACGGTGGAACTCATCAGGTTAGTGCTTTTTCTGTGATTCTATGTATAATTAGCTGCTTCGTGATTTTCTTTTTTTTTTTAAGGATCGTTCTGACCTGGTTACTGGTTAGTCCAAGGCATCATCAACTCAGAAGGCATCATAATTAGTCCTTTCCGCCATTTTATGAACGCCACGGAAAATTTATAATTGAGGGAGCCTGTTCTTAAAAATTAGCCCTGTTAGGGGATATAATAAGGGTGCTGTATAATTTGCGATATTCATATAATTAAAATTGAAATGCAGTGGATGGAAGTAAAAACATCATCATTTCAGTGCTTGGGCTGTCACATTTACCTCAGAAAGGGTTAGTTTTTATTGTTCCAAATATTAAAGAGAGACCGTTGGCATCTCTGTTATAAATCCTGCCTTTTTAGAGTTTATCAATTAGCCGTAAAACAACTGTCCTAGAATGAATTTTGGCAGATAAGAATCAAAAGATGCTTCCATAATCAGCATATCACCAGTTGTGATGGGTGTGACAATACGCTAGTGTGGTCAACACACTGCCGTTCGCCCACACGCCATTATTTCCTGGTGAATGAAGTTGCCGGAATACCTTAAAACTTTCTTACGCCAGAGTGAACTCTATTACTTATTCTTAACATAAGTACTGTGAAATTGTATTAAGGCTCAGAACAATGATTTTTATGGGATGATCTGATTTTCAGAAGGCTGAGTGTGCAGGGAACATGGGAGTGAAAAGCTCCAGAGAAGTGAGGGTGAAGATAAAGATGATAGATAGACGGATAGACAGACAGACAGACAGACAGACAGACAGACAGACAGACAGAGATGGATAGATGGATGGATGGATAGATAGATGATAGATAGATAGATAGATAGATAGATAGATAGATAGATAGATAGATAGATAGATAGATAGATATGGATACATAGATACACAGATAAATAGGTAGATAGGTAGAAAGGTAGGTAGGTAGGTAGGTAGGTAGGTAGATAGATAGATAGATAGATAGATAGATAGATAGATAGATAGATAGATAGATAGATAGACAGATCAGGACAAGAAGCAATGGATGGAAACTAATCAAGGAGAGAAGCAACCTGGAATTAAGGAGAAACTTCCAGTAAGGACAATTAACCAATGGAACAAATTGCTTTCAGAAGTTGTGGGTGCTTCAACACTGGATGTTTCTAAGAGCCTGGAAGGTTACTTGTCTGAAATGGTATAGGGACTCCTGCTTGAGCAGGGGGTTGGACTAGATGACCTCCAATGTCCCTCTCAGCTCTATTCTGAATGAAGATATTTCTCGTACTGTGTTTATCGAGGGTGGCAGCTGCTCTCTTGAAGGGCAGTGGATGCCCTGCTGCTTGTGTACAACTCTGAGGTCATTCGGTTGTTTCTGTGGGCACCGCTGTTGTTCCTTGATGCCACCCATTCAACCTCTTCTCTTCCATCTCTCTCTGAAGGTATGCCATGAGGCTTAAGAATTTCACGGGGTCTTCCGCCACAGAAGGAGACAAGAAACTTGCAGTCCTCTGGTGAGACATTGTCCTTCTTTCTCAATTGTCTTGTTATTAAAGTTGATTAAAGCTTTCCTTCCCTCCTTCCTTCCTTCCTTCCTTCCTTCCTTCCTTCCTTCCTTCCTTCCTTCCTTCCTTTCCTTCCTTTCCTTCCTTCCTTTCCTTCCTTTCCTTTTTTCCCCCCTATCTTTTCTCTTGTTTCTTTGTAAAAACTTGTAATAAAAATCATTTCAAAAATGATGTGCTAACCCAATGTGGTTTTCTACTGTGGTTGGTGCCCACAGATCACAGCTTTTGGGGGGGAAAATGTCAAGTTTGTGTTTATGTGTATTTCCAAATTCCTATAGCTACCGCTGCTTATCCCTCCTCTATCTGAGAATGTTTAAACTGAAGAAGGATCATGCAATGAAGTACTCCAGATCCTTGATGGAATATTTTAAGGTAAATGACATTTAATTGCTTTTTATGCAGAAAGGGGGGGGGGAGAGAGAGAGAGAGAGACAGAGGGAGAAAGAAAGACAGAGACAGAGGGACAGAGGCAAAGAGAGAAAAGAGAGAGAGAGAGACAGAGGGAAAGGGAGAAAGAAAGAGAGAGAGAGAGACAGAAAGACACAGAGACAGAGGGAGGGAGGGAGG